GGATGTCTTTCTCAGACCTTACAAACTCTATGCCCAAGAAATACTTCAATTCCCCTAGGTCCTTCATTTTTGAAAGCTCTTTGCAATGTTGTCTTAGTATCTTTAATCAGCTTCAGATGAGAACCAGTAATTAACATTTCATCTACATATACCAATACCATTGTTGTACCTTCTACAGTTCTCTTCACAAACAAAGAATAGTTATACTGACTTTGAATGAAGCCAAATGTGCATAAAGCTTTAGTGAGATTCTCATTCCACTGCATGGGAGCCTGCTTAAGGCCATATAAGTATTTAATGAGCCTACACATTAGCTGTGACTCCCCCTGACTCTTGAATCCTGGAGGCAGTTGCATGTAAATCTCATCAAACTGATCTCCTTGCAAGAAAGCAATGTACACATCTGTTTGATGGATGTGCCAATGTTGAGCAGCAGCGATGTACATGATAGTTCTTACAGTCACCATCTTTACGATAGTCAATACCTTCTTTTTGGGTGTAACCTTTGGCTACTAGCCTTGCCTTGAAACTTTCTATTTCCCCAAAGGCCTTGCACTTCACCCTATATACCTACTTATAGCCAATATGAGTTTTACCTCCTGGAAGAGATATAATATCCAGGTATGATTACTCTCCAATGCTTCAATCTTAGACTTTATAGCTTTCATCCACCTGGGATCTTGACATGCTTCAGTTAATATAGTAGGTTCAACCACAGTAGAGAAAGCAGCCAAGTATGTCTGTTACTTTTGTGATAGCCCAATATATGACACATAATTTTCTATGGCATAGGATACAGAGGCATGAACATTTAGAGACACAAAATCCTTAATCTATACAGGTGGACATTTATCTCTGGACGATCTCCTGATTTCACTAGTTGTGATATGTGCATCACTAGGATTAACTGCACCAATAGGGTGAATCACTTCAGAAACTTGGTGTTGGATCTGCACTGTATGTGGTAAGGTTGTCTTCTGTATTTCTCATGGTCCTTCTTCTTGTTAAATTACTCCTTGAACCTCTTCACTAGCATCAGTGTTGTGCATATCTTTTGCAAATGTATTGATCTCTCCTTCAGTGATGGAATAATCATTGTTAGAAGTATGATCCATATGAGCTATGGTTTCTGTGGCAGGTGCATAGATATAGGTTGGTTCTAACTGTTGAGCAAAGACAGGAACTTGCTTGGGCTTAAATGTTTAAAAGGAAAGATGTCTTCCCTGAACACAACATCCTTGTTGACAAAAAAAAATATTGTTAGCCATATTTAAAAGGATGTATCCTTTCTGTGTGCCAGAATAGCCCATTAGCAGTGATGGTATTGCTCTACTCATAAATTTGTCCTTCTCTTGCACATCCTTTGCATAGCATAGATATCTCAATACTCTTAAGTGCTGCAGTGAGGGACTTCTGTTGTATAACTTCTCAAAGGGAGACAATCCATTAAGAATTGGGGTAGGCATTCTATTTATAACATATACAACATTCAACATATAGTGACCCCAATATTTTAGAGGGATACGAGCCTGAAATCTCATAGTTGTGGCAACTTCTAGAATATGTATATGCTTCCTCTCAGCTACTCCATTTTTCTGAGGGGTGTAGACACATGTTGTCTGATGAATCATTCCAAGCTCTTTAAATAAACTTTCACATACGAAGTTAGTGAATTCTGTGCTATTATCTGTTCTAATTACTTTAACACTGCTATCAAATTGATTTTTCACATAGAGTAGAAAGTATTTTAGTATAACACATATATCTGATTTCAGTTTCAACAAAAATAACCAAGTCATTCTGGAGAAATCATCCACTAAGGTTAGAAAATATTTATTTCCATCAAAAGTTGATACTCTATAAGGGCAGAATACATCAGCATGTAGTAAATCAAAGCATTGAGTACTTTTAATATTGCTACTAGGAAATGAAAATGTAGTATGCTTAGCTAAGGGACACACATAACACTTGTTCACTATATTGACACAGTTGTCATGCCTTATTGTGAATAGCTTCTCCAGAATTACATGGGTCACATCTCCTAATCTTTTATGACATAGGCTGATGTTAACTTCTCCCTTATCATTCTCTTTATCCTCTTTATTCTTCATTCCTGCATCTATAGTTGTAGATTTATTAACTGCCAAAGCCCTCTCAGTGTGATTCTCAACTGCCTGTGGTATTAAGATGTATAGCCCTTCCTTCTCTTTACCAATCTCCTTCACATTCCCATTGTATAGATCTTGAAATAGACAAAAGTCAGGATAAAATACAACACAATACTGCAAGTCTCTAGCTACCTTTGACACTGAGACGGATTGTATCTGAATTGTGGAACATGTAGGATATTCCTAATTATGCTCCTTGCTGAGATTGGACAAGTACCAATGTGAGTAACTAAATTCACATCTCCAATAGGTAAATGTACCCTTCTAGGATTATTAGATTTAACTTCCTCAATTGTAGATAGTGTCCTAAGATCAGATACCATATGGTTTGAAGCCCCTGTGTCAATTATCCATACTTGAGGAGGTTTATTGGAAGTGTTTACTAGGAAAGCTTTACTAGTACCTTTTGCACTTGTCATGTTTGCAGAAGCAGGTGTCACTGAACTTTTGTTTAACTTGTGCAGCATTTGCTCATATAGCTCCTTGGTGAAAGAGCAGGCTACAAGCTGTTGTACATTATTGCTAGAATTTGGAGATTGCCTCTACATCATTGTTTGTGATTGAGTCTGTATCTGCAGATTTTGCATCTATGAAAAAGTCTGAGGCTGCAAGAAGCTATTATGATTCGAGTCACTAGCCAACATATTATATGTAGATGCTACCCCTTTCTTCTTAGGCTTAGGGCTTTGTGGATAACCAATGAGTTTCCAACAATTTTCTTTAATGTGGCCTTTCTTTCTACAGTACTTACATAATTCATTGTTGTTTCTCCTTGGCTTCTGATAATTTCTAGTCTGTTGAAAATTATTGGACATAAAGTTGTTTGGTTGAAAGGTTGGTTGAAAACTACCAAACCTTGTAGTAAGTAATGCAGTTGACTCATAGTTTTCGGGTAAAATAATGGATTGTAAACCTAGATTCACTACTGTAGCAGCTACAGATTTTTGACTCTCATCACTCATGATCATAGAGTATGCCTTATTGAGTGAGATCAAGGGATAAATCATTAAAATTTGACTCCCAGCCTGGAAATAGGACTTATTTAATCCCATAAGAAATTGATATAATTTCTGCCTCTTCATATGATTCATATAGTCTCTAGACTTTTGACAGTTACATGGACCCGGAACTATTGCCTCAAATTCATTCCAAAGGTCTTTCAATTTTGTGTAATACTCAGAAACAGAAGATGTATCTTGATACAATGTTGCAATTTTCTTATGTAGGTTGAATGATCAAGAGCCATCAACCTTGTTGAACTTCTCACAAAGATCTTCCCAGACTGCTTGTTCATCAGATCCATACACCAATCATCTAATCAGTTGTGGAGTTACAACATTCATCATCCATGAAAGCATTATTGCAGTGCACATTTCCCATTACTCCCACAGATTTTCATGAAACCTCTCCCTTTTTCATGTTCCTTCTACAAACCCTAACTTGTTCCTCCCACGCAGAGCAATTCTCATAGAGCGATTCCACAGAGTATACTTTGCCGTACCGGTCAATTGAAAGGAAATGAGTTGTGCTGCACTCATATCTGCAGGTCCGCGATATAAGGGATAATTGTGAGGCAAATAAACTCTAAATTCATCGCGAGCTCCACCTATTCCTATAACTCTAGTGCTAATTACTCAAGTATTTACACCGAAATTTATAAGTGTGCTAGTAGGTGTGTCTCCCATGGCTACTTTGCTTCAATCGTGTCAATATTTGAAGGAATTGATTCCTTGATCACTGAGCTCAATTACTCTATATCAACTTCGAGGAATTGTTGGATCAAACGAGATTAGATATCCTTAGCCTAATGGCTCTAATACCATGCTAGAATTGTGGATAGGAGATGGGGAAAATGAGAAGAGAGAACATGGAGAGAGAAGAAGGCAACAATGGAGAGAATTTTTTTTGTATTCAATTTGTATGTACAACTATGTATTTATCAGGGGTATACAAATCGAATCGGAAAATTATACCAAACCGAAAAGTCAAACCAAATCGATTAAAAAATTCAACTAGGTTTGGTTTGATTTGGTTTGGCATTGAGTAAAAAACCTGAACCAAACCGACATATAAATATATAATTTTTATATATACTTTTAAGATTTTATATAGAATTTTCTTTAAAAAGTGTCTAGAAATATTTGGGATTCTCTTAGGGGATATAATATTTAATAAAATATGAAGTGCTCCATATTTATTAACCTTAAATAATGACTAGTATGATCACTTTCTTATCAAGTGTTATGAAAGAGGTCAATCTCTTTGTTTTTCCATATTCATATGTCAAGATCTATTAAATTCTTATATCTTTTTTGAATTTGAAGTGGTTATTATTATTTAGGTATCATATTAATTTTTATGTTTAATTACTAAATTCGGTTAACCTTGAAAGTGTATATCAATAAAAATTATTGTCAGACGACTAAAAAACTAACTATTATGTGTTACTAAGTAAATTCACCCATAAGAATATTTAATAGATAATATGTTTGTCAATTTTTTAAATTTTTACTAAACATATATTTATTTATTAAAAATTTAACAAAGTAAGATTGAAATAATATTTAAGTAACAAAAAACCCGAAAAACCCGCCAAATCCGAACCAAACCAAACCAATATAGTTGGTTTGGTTTTGATAAAAACCGAACTAACCCGGTCTATGTACACCTACTTAGCCAACTAGCCATACAAGCTCAGCAACAATAGTTGTTAAGCTTCTATATTCAGCTTCTGGAGATAGTTGTTTGCTTCTTTGACTTCCATGATACCAGTGAGTCACCTAGCTTGATCAGATATCCTGTCATAGATTTCCTGGAATGTTGGCATGACGCCTAGTCTGCATCACAATAAGCTTTTAAAGTTCCTTTGTTGCTGCTGGACAGTAGAAGTCCTTGTCCAGGATGATTCTTGACATATCTAACAATACTTATAGCAGCTTCCATATGAGAGTTCTTAGGTTGTTGCAAGAATTGACTCAGTATTTGTACATTAAATGCTAGGTCAGGTCTTGTCATGGTTAGATAGAGTAACTTCCCTATCAACCTCTCATAAGCCCCTGAGTCTAGTAGCAGGTCATCTAGTCCACTACTTGTAGTTCCAAGGTAACCATCATATTCCTTGGTAGTCAGCTTAGTGTTTACCTCCAAAGGCATGGCAACTGGTTTGGCTGCACTAAGTCCAAGCTCAGAGATAAAGTTCCAGTGTATATTTTCTCTGATGCATAAAGATGTCTTTCTCAGAACTTGCAAACTCTATGCCCAAGAAATACTTCAATTCTCCTAGGTCCTTCATTTTTGAAAGCTCTTTGCAATGTTGTCTTAGTATCTTTAATCAGCTTCAGATGAGAACCAGTAATCAACATGTCATCTACATATACCAATACCATTGTTGTACCTTCTGCAGTTCTCTTCACAAACAAAGAATAGTCATACTGACTTTGAATGAGGCCAAATGTGCATAAAGCTTTAGTGAGATTCTCATTCCACTGCATGGGAGCCTGCTTAAGGCCATATAAGTATTTAATGAGCCTACACACTAGCTGTGATTCCCCCTGACTCTTGAATCCTGGAAGCAGTTGCATGTAAATATCATCAAACAGATCTCCTTGCAAGAAAGCAATGTACATATCTATTTGATGGATGTGCCAATGTTGAGTAGTAGCGATGGACATGATAGTTCTTACAGTCACCATCTTTACGACTGGGAAAAAAGTTTCCTTATAGTCAATACCTTCCTTTTGGGTGTAACCTTTGGCTGCTAGTCTTGCCTTGAACCTTTCTATTTCCTCAAAGGCCTTGTACTTCACCATATATACCCACTTACAACCAATAGGAGTTTTACCTCCCGGAAGAGATATAATATCCCAGGTATGATTACACTCAAATGCTTCAATCTCAGACTTCATAGCTTCCATCCACCTGGGATCTTGACATGCTTCAGTGACTGTAGTAAGTTCAACCACAGTAGAGAAAGTGATCACGCCCAACTATGCCTTGTAAAAAGGATTAAGTGGTCGCTGCAAATATTACCCGGTTCAAGTCCACAGTCGAATCCCTCAGGGAACTAACCTATTTACTACAACTTTAAATAATGCTAAAGATAAGCTCAAACAACTTTCGGATGCAAGAGTTTTATGAATAATCAGTAAAATTTATTTAGCTAAGGAAAAATGACAATAAAACTAGCAATAATCAAGACTAAAATTGAATTCAAGGGTAAAAGGATCTAAGGCTATTGATTTTCCCAATTGCCGGATTAATTCTTAACTTTTTAGCTATAATCTCATCGTAGTACTCTATGAGGATTATGAATTCCGAGCTACCGTAATTATCTCTCGATCAATTACGATAATTTACTAGAAGCATTCTCTCGAATTACTCTAGTCAACAATTTATGCAACTCAGAATTATCCCACCAAACCTTCGTTATTTCTAACCCCACTTTTAAATTCAAGTAATTAATCTCTTAACTTACCTAAAAGTGGTGTTGTTCTAAAACAATCTAACCAAGTGTTCTTTCTCAAGCAACATAAGGTAACTAGACACGATTAATCAAGGGTCCTTTCAATTAACCACAATACAATACGTAGTTGAACAATCATAGAACAAACATAACTCAATTATAACAAAATAGAGTCAAGACTTCATCCAACAATTGGTTCCATCAACCCTAGATAATAGATTTAGCTACTCATACTAATGGAAAACAAATCAATAAAATAATTCATAATCAACAAATAGAAGTATGAAGAAGAAGATGAAAACTCTTAGGGAATTATCCGTCTTCTCTCCCTTGTTCTTGCCTCTAAAATCTTCTAAAACCAGCTATATTTGACTTCTGGGCGAGTTTAGGCTTCATATAGGTTTAGGTTAGTCGCCTAGGAAATTACATAATTAACCCTGCGTGTTTGGCTTTCGTTCGCTCATCCGCGGCCGCGGATTCGATCGCGGATTCGATCGCGGATTTCCACTGCCTCACTGCCTTGAGTTCGCGGGCCAATTCGCTGCCCACTTCGCGGCCGCGCACCTGGAGGGGTCGTCTCGCTTGCTTTTCTCGCTCCTTTTCGACCGGGCTAACCTTCGATTAGCCTTTCACACTCCATGTTGACTCCAAAACACTCGTTAGCTCCCTCCTAGCTTGGAGTAGCTCCTGCAAAGCATCAAATTCTTAATTAGAGTATTTTGTTATCTTTTAACATTCAAATATCAATAAAGTGAGGCTAAATTAGAGTGTAAATAGTGTCTAAATTGCATAAATATAGCCTACTATCAACACCCCACACTTAAACCATTGCTCGTCCCCGAGCAATCAAACTACACTCTAAGAGGCCTAACTTCACTGAGCGACTTCCCTACTCGTCACACCAAGAATATTTCATATAAATTGAGGACATTAGTGCAACATCTACACCTCAAGAGTTGACTCCCTCTAGCCACACAATGTTCCTAATCGGCTTACTTACTCTAATTCATAGGTCCAGACTTACCTCTCCTTCATAATCCAAGTGCCTGCTCACAACAAAAGAGACTCATTTCTCAATCAGTAAAATTCACACACACTGAGGAACTTTAAAAGGAACATAATTTATTCACCCTCAGAAATAACATTCTTGTGCCACAGAAAATGCACCATAGGCTTGCCCGTATTGTACGACTCTACTAATTGAGCTTACTCAGTTTAGGATAAAGTAGGACTTTATTTGGATGTAATGTAGGTTGCGGGTTGGGTAGGATATATTTAGATATAATAGTGACTACACCTCCCTAAGCACTTTAATACATTTATTTTACAATCAAGTCCACACCTAAGTTAAACCAATATTTTCATCTTTAACACCATATATACCACCCCACACTTCTTCTTTGAGCACAATCACCTTAAAAGCCACCAAAGAATTATTACCAATCAACATGATACACTATTAACAATGTTCTTCTCTTTTTTTTTTCTTTTTTTCACAAGTGGCTTATCCAACAAGATATATCTTTCTCTTTATTTCCCTAGTTCCACTCAAAAGCTCCACCAACTACCCCAAACTTTATCCTTTGTAAATTCATAGTATTTCAAGTGCTTACGAGAGGTAAAGGGTTCAAAAAGATGGTTAATTCAAACAAGGGATAGGGCTTGTAATGTGGTTGCCAAGGAAACAGGATTACAGGCTCAACGGGGTTAACTATGGTACATAGCAAATAGGTGGATGGAGTATGTATATATATGGTTCAATAAAAAAATGTCTATATCACTTCCCAGACTAAACAGGACTACCATTTCGCCTTGCAGACACACGGGGCAAGTTCTAGGCGTTAAATATCGTGCACAGAATATAACAAGCCTCACACACACATGGTACATAACTCATTCTAGATTAGATCATCAAACACTCGGATCAGGGTACTTAAGCCAAATTAAGAACATACATTTTAAGGCCTTCTTACAAGAGTCAACAAATGAGCCTAAGCGTCACACTAAAGTAACCGCTATATTCAAGGCATTACGAAATTAAGGGATCCTATTCTAATTCTGCCCATAGCCCATAAATTCCTAACTAAAAATAAAAAGCTAACTACACCCGGTTCAAACAAAACCCTTGGAAAAGAACCGTGGTTTAAAGAAAAACCAAGGGGGAATTAATACACTACTATAAAAGAAAATCTTTTTTTTTCCGATCAACTTTAGTCCCTCAAGAAACCCGTTGAATGATATCCATCGTCGGGACAAGTCAAAATTGATTTATACAAATAAACTACGAAATTATCTACATACAACATACAACAAAGTATCCCCCACCCCACACTTAAAAAGATGGCATGTCCCCCTGTCATACAAAGTAAAGTAATGTGAGATAAAGGAACTTCCCTGGTGGATCAATCTTGATCGGAGACAGTGCCAGGGTCGAGATGACATGCTCTCCCCAGCACACGTAACCAGCCCATGATTTTCTTTTCTGACTTCACATTTTGGGTGGCCAAAGCATCAACTCTAGTCCCCAATTCCGTGACGGAAGTGTGCAGTCCTGCAATGTCTTGTTCTAAGGTTGTCATCCGTGTACTCCGTCTAACCTGGGATGGTCCTTCAGCCGCTGCAGCTTGTTCCTGTGGGGGTGAGGCAGGTTCAACCTCCTCCTGCCCTTTATCGCCCTCTTCCGACGCATTAGAATCGTCACTATGAGTTGCTCCTGGTGCCACCGGGTCTTTCCCGATAGTCACTTTGTGTGCCTGAAACTTTGCTTCTTTCTTTACCATGCCATTCGCATTTGGGTTCTCAGGCACCCTTGCTGCCTGGCACAATCTAGTAATCAGAGAGGGTAAAAATAACCCATACCTCTTCTGTAGTGAACGGATGAATATCTCATACTAAATAACCTTGGCCACATCAAAGTCGTGGTCATTCATGAAGCACCAGATCAAGGCAGCTCTCGGACCATTTACCTCTGTGGTGTTGTGGGATGTCAGCAAGCGACTGTTGATGATGTACAACCAGCACTTTCCTTCAAAAGTGAGTGAGGCAGAGTGTAGCATCGATCCCGGCACAACTCACACTACCTCTTTGTCTGGTGCACATATAGTTCTGAAAAACATGTTCCATGTGATGGGTTCTCTCCTGTAAGTATCACAGAAGTCCTCCTCCCCATTTTATTCAGGCAATCGATATACTCTCCTGATGGCTTCTATCGAGGCATCCATCCTTGTATGTCGCACAGTGTATATTCTATCCTCATATTCGGGGCAGTTAGCATAGAACTCCTGGACAAGCATCAAGTTACCCTCCTCCGTCTCTTCAAAAAAGATGTCCAACCTGCGCCTGATCAACTCCCGATACATATTAGGGCACTTATCCTGGAGGGATGCCCTGTCAATACCCCTTTCTGGTACAGGTTTTTTAGTGGACTTCAAACTGAAACGGTCTTGGGCAGTTCTGGAGACAAACCTGGTACGATCAAACTGAGCTGCACTGGCCGGTGCCCTTCCCCGAGATGAGCATCCATGACCACTTGATGAGGCTACGGTAGCGCGCCTCTTCCTTGAAGGTTGCATGTTACCTATACAATAAATACTACTATCAGTGGAGAGCGGAATATTTGGCCCAATGGCGGTTACTCAGACTTCACTCGCACAATTGGTCACAATTTATATTCAACACTCATTAAGGCAAA